TTTAAAAATATATATATATATATACATGTATACTCTTCAAAAAAAAGTAGGGAATATTGAAATACCTATGCAGGTTGCGATATGATAAATAGTCATGGACATTTGACATGCTTTGAGAGTATGTTCACAGATGAAGACATTATCGCCCCAAAAGAACCCCTGAGCTGCACATGCGACACGCAATAGCGCCATACACGTTGGAGGGGTTCATTGTCAAATTTGACACTTCAAGGAAGAGTTGAGGAAAATTGCCGCGTGCTGGTTTATACTATCCATGTTTGCTTTCCTATCGGTTCTTGCATAAGATTTACTGTTTAGCGTATCTTTGCTTTAGTGTGTTACGTTTAATTTGATCGGGAGACGTGTTCGTCGACGTCAACGTCAACCGACAGCACTGCAAGAATTGGCCGTGGCACTGCAAGAGGAGTGGGTCAGATTTCCCCAAATCGTGATTGGACGGTTGATTAGGAGCATGCCACGACGAATTGCTGAATGTCTGAGGATTGGTGGGGCAATTACTCATAATATTAAGACAAAAATCAAAAACGTCCATTTTCACTTTTGACAGTGTAACTCTTTGTGAGTGAAATGGGGCCGTCAGATAAGCCGCATATGAACTGTTTATGTTCATGTGTAGGCAATAGGCCTGTTATTAACATACACTGGTTACCTCTAATAAAAACAGCAGTGAATTTCCGCAGTTTTGTATTGTTTCTGAAGATCCCCTACTTTTTTTGAAGAGTATATATATATATTTAATATCTACAATACAATAATGAAGTCTTGTTGTAAAAAGAGACGGATGTATTTAAACAATTGCTTCAAACAGAAAACAATGAATAATAATTAATTAACTTGCAGTACTACCACTCCCCGGAGATGATCATATCATATTTTCCTGTCAAATTAATTCAAGTACTGTACTTTAATCTTTATAACCACTAATTGTATATTCTTATATATCAAATAGTTAAAAAATAATTCAATAAACAAAATTAAATGGGGTTTAACTTCCTTCTGTTCTCCACCGACTATATTCTAATTGTGTTGAGAGATCAGGTTTGTTTTTTAATTTGTCTAGTTCCGTGTGACAAAAAACACTTCTAAAGCTACACCAGGTCATGGTTTAATTTTATTTCAATAATTCGATTGGGCGTAGGGGTCTTTAGCAGTGGGAGGAAACCGGAGGACCCGGAGAAAACCCACGAAGTTGGACAGGCGACCCTACTCCTTGTCACGTACAAAAGCTACACCAATTTAATTGTTAATATTAAGGGTTATATCACAGAATTTACGTTTAAAGTAGGGATTGAAATGAAATAAAACTAAATGGAGTTTTTAAACTAGGGTAAACGTCTTATTTTTCAGGCTAATGAAGACGTGCATATACGCCATGTCCAATGAAAGAACTTTTCTCAAAAACTGGCGATATGACCTACGAGGACTGGCTGAAAAGTTTCAATCCCATCTGTGAAATACCTATACAACGTCGATGGTTTCCATTTACTTTTTGTACATACTTCCCTTTGGGGTGTACACACTTTTGCCAACGATGTTGCAAGGCCTAGATTCCGGTCAGGAAGAAATTTTCTTCAACAACCCTAGAAAAGTCGTTCACAGCTGACATGAAGTCATCATTACTAGGAAAATAACGATCGGGCATTTCTTTTTTTTTTTCGTTTTTAGAAACAGGTGGAAGTCTGACGGGGCAAATCGGACAAAAGAATAACCATGATCGGCTTCAAAATGGCGCAGATTGTCACGAGGCGTCAGGAATTTCACATGCTTTTGATCCGCAGTCAAGAGCCTTGGCACCCATCTTGCAGAAACGTTTTAGACTCCTAACTCGTTGGCGATAATGTGGCCAACCCTCTCATTAGAGATGCTCACGCCACTGGCAATATGTTGAGTGGTCAATCGTTGACCAGCCATCACTATGTCATGCACCAGGGTAATGTAGTCTTGAATGGTTACTGTTGACGGCCTTCCGCATCCCACTTCTATACTTTGGGACAGGAAAATGCATCATCCTCTAAAGTGGAAATCATGTCGGCACGCATCTGTGTTGAGGTTAGTCCTTTCAGTTGCAGGTATTTAATGAGGAGTATTTTCGGCCAACTCGGGGATCTCTAGTAAAACCTGACAAACGGCTCAAACTGTCCTGAATTAAAGATACATTAGTTAAGAGTTATCATTGTTTGTAGTTTTGACAAGATGTGTGCACAGTGGTAACCAGGGTACTGGTATAATCGGGACTTAGCCTCGCTTTCCCATTTTCAAATTAAATTTTTAAATGGCGAACCGTTTTATTCTAGTTAAAATCTCGAGTATCCGATGCCATCGAGAGTCGATTATGGTCTTGTCATGTTAATAAATGTCTAATTAATAATTTATATAACATTTCGGGCCTAAAGAAAGACCTGCAATATGCAGATTTAGCTCTTGCATAATGTATGTTTAAGCAAACATAGTGATACAGGCTGGTGCTGGACGGAGGGCGTGACAAGAAACAGTGCCTAGTCGTTCGAGTGGGACGAAAACCGAAGCACCATGTACATACATTGGCCTGCATGTAGAAGTACTCTTTATAGAATTCGAAATGAATTCGAGAGTTGGAATTCGATATAAGACTAGACCGTAGTGTCGCTTTCCGTGAAAAAATTCCCTCATAGCACAATGTATGGCGTATACCCCTCGATGCAGAACAGAAGAACCTAAATCTTCATTTCATTACACTTCATTTCCAAACGCCCGACCTACTAAAACGTTACAGCTTTTTATATTTAAAACAAATCAATCTGTTAACCTTGATAACATTTTATAAAATATTCATATATTGATTTTATTGTTTATGATATAGCTTTATTGTACAAGAGGGTATCACATAAGCTTATTTCACACAATCTCGTCCTGCAAGTTCTTGCTTCATTGTCGGTATCCCCTGTGGTTTCATTCCATTCTACTCCACTATACCCTGGGTTCATCTATGGGTTATTCACGTATTCAAATTATCTGCCCTTGGTCGTGGCTTGATTCTATGAACCAATCAAAACAGTTTACAAACCAGTCTTAGGTTCATTGTTTACATTCACAACAATATGTGGCCTGTTCGCTCGATTATGAGAAAGTTTGTAAGAAATTTAATATAAAAGTACTAACATGCACACAATACGATGTCATAAAACATCTTTGTGATGGCAAAGATGTTTTTATGTCAGTTTTTATGTATTTAACGACTTTTTTGATTGGTCGATAAAATAGCACAATCATCAAGGGCAGATAATTTGAATACATGTCTTCTCCCATTTATGAACAGAGGGGTTAGTGGCGTGGAACGGAATGAGACCACTAGGGATATCGAGGGTGGTTCTTGCTTATGTCTCAATGAACAATCCCTCCATGTTGTTTTAAAAAAACACTATGCCAATAACTCCCAGTACATGGTGTTAAAAGGAAATACATATTTCGATTGTTTTCTTTCCTACACCCCCATGAATAATCCCACTAAGTTTATTTTTTAAGTTTACAAGGTTTAAAAAACAAATTTATTCTGGGAGATAACATGCCACGATTTACTTTAACATATAAATTGTGGCATTGTTTCTCCTCGTGGCGCAGCGAACAGTCCCGTCACAAATATGTTGTACATGGATTATGTCACATTAAAAAATTTGAAGGGATATTCTTGCAACATAAATAGCCAATCACAAACTTACACGTTAATGCGTTCGCAAATCGTAGTCACGTCTGAACACTTACCTGTCTGTGCCCACTCTATCGAGGCAGTTCCTGGAGTATATTCTCGAAGTACCAGGAATAGTTACTGTACTGTATTAACGATGGCCCATGTCGATTTTGAGTATTTTCTCAACTGCTGTTTCAGAGTTATCGACAAACGTACAATACTCTTACATATAGATTTCTATCAGAGTACTACGAATTATTTAATGGTGCATGGTCCCTAACGATTTGGATGTTTTAGCAAACTTATTTCCATAATTACTGGTGCTACCATGGGAATGTTGAATGTTGATACAATACATTAGCGTAGTCACTTTATAGAATTACGGTCTTGGCAAAAATATAGCCCCGCCGTTATTTTCCCTGACTGATAGGGTACATTACCCTCACTCGCTCTGCAAAATTAAAGGACAATATTGGTGCCAGTCATTATCACATATGTGTTAGAGCTGGTTAAACACATTCCAAATATACTTTTACCCCATAGATCATTGCTACGATAGCTGAGTAATACAGGTTTTCCGTATCGGAAGTGACGAACGCCAAAGGAAAACACGAGTCACCGCTCTATATAACTGACTGAAGCGACGAGTGATAACAGATACACGGCCTAATTTCTGCTCACTAATAATTCCTTTGAAGACCAACAGATAGAGTCAAAAGCCTCTTGTATGACCTCTGACGCGACCTAACGCTACAACCGGTCAGATTTTCATGTAGTGTAGGCCATCGAAAGTATAAAAAAAACGAAACGAAATGTAGATCTGTATTTTAATCCGATTGTAAATAATAATGTCAGAAATAGACCGTCTAGAAATTACGTGCATCTTTCATGTATAGCTGGCTTACAGGACGTTTCTGCTGACCAATGGTTTTGGTCTAAATAACACTTGAAACATGGTATAATGTGTTCGGACAGAATAACATTCCTTGAGCAGTAATCCATAAAATAATTTCAATAGAACAAAAAAGGTTTAGGGAATTAAACAGACAAAACCAAACTGGGATATCTTCTGCTTCCAGGAACCATTTGCTTATTGCACTTGGGTATACGATTCTCCTTTAGCCTTAGGGCGAGTATATGATAAGGTCTGTCACTGAGTGAAGTGGTATGGTGTGTCGCCTCTATAACCACGTGAAGTTACTCTGGGTCCCCTGGTTTCCACCCATTGCTATAGACCCATACGCACTAGCACATAAAGAACGAGAAACCATTCAACGTATAAAACCGGTCAACACCATAAATTTATAAGAAAAAACTTTTAATTTAAAACATAATAAAGTGAAGAAAAGGGAGAAAAATGATAAATAAGTTTTTAATAAAACATAGTATACTTATTATTAAAGTCATAGTATATTAATAAAGAAAGTCTGTTGGTAAATTGAATTCTTTAGTGATAATAAATATATTACGCATAAATTCTAGTTACAGAGTCTTACTATTAACTTTCCGATGGTAAAAAAGAAGAATTGTAACAAAGCAAATATTTATACTGTCCCGACTGAATAGAAATATTGAAAATATAGCACTTTATAAAATAGCACAATGATTTTATGTCTCAAAATCATTTATGATTTATAATAATATAGAAGTAGTTTGGAGTTGAGAATTACATACCAGGGTCATCATTTTGTACAAAGAAATAGAAACAGAAAATAAAAACAAATAACAAACCAGCACAGATCGTATCAAATATCTTGTGTCGTTGTCCCACAGAATAGGATTTCGGATTTTGACATTTAGGAGAGTCTGTAAGTTAATTTGTTGTGTATAAAATTAAATAAATAGCATTTATTTAAGAGTTTTATCAATTTTAATTGAATTCCATGATCTTTGAAATTAGAAGTACATATATTAAATATGGAAATCGACAAAAAAAAAGAAGAAAAAGAAAGAAATATGTAAGCCAGACAATGAGCATTATATTGCTGTGTTTTATTTTAATTTTTTAGACTTCACAAAATAACAAGTACGTATGTTACCCTTAATTAGTAAATACCGATCTTGTCTCTTAAATTATACACCACAACAATTTATTAAATTATTCATTTAAATATGACACAGATCATATTTGGCTATTATAAATACGCAAAACATACATATCGCTCGTTGATTTGTGATGCACACTTAAAATAAAATTCACATTTAAATTTGAATGTAATAGCATCAAAAAGACTATATGTCTTATTCCCCTTTTGAAACATCCAGAAAAGTAGGACGTTAACCCCATTTCATTTCACTCCATTTGAAACATGTCCCTTTTCTACAGTTCATATAAGATTTAAGCAATCTTATCAGTGATATCGCCTGAAGGTGGAAGTGGACGTAAAAGCTCCAGTTGAACAACAAATCCGCCAACAATTATTTTTCTGTTCTGACATTTGGTAGTATTTCCCGTTTTCTTTGTTTTTGTTCATAATTGTTTTATCTGTCTAGAGTAAAATACCAGTAGGTTCGTTCATATAACATAAATAAAATATCCGTTCACAACATATTGAATTAGCACTTTAACAATGTTCATCATCAACATCAATCTCATCTGCAGAACAATCCGTATCCTCTCTCATCCCGTCTATTTGTTTATTTTCTCTTTTCTCTGATTCATTGTTTTCCATACCTTCTCCTGGTTCAACGTCTTCGTTTGTAGGCGAATCCTAAATAAATTATCAAATTTTTTATAATTTCAAAAATAGATTAAATTAAATATTTTCAAAAACATATCTTAAAGTTTTCTTTATTAGTATTAATAAAATGTTTCTAAAATATATTCTAAAGGTTCATAAACATCTTTTAAATGTCTCTAAATTATATTTTGAAATTTCATCAAACGTATTTCAAAGGTCTCTAAAACATGTTTTAAATTACTCTAAAATATATTTCAAATGTTTATAACATCAAATGTTTCTGAAATGCATTTTAAATGTTTCAAATGTTTTAAAACATATTTCAAATGTTTTAAAACATATTTCAAATGTTTTAAAACATATTTCAAATGTTTTAAACATATTTCAAATGTTTTTAAAACATATTTCAAATGTTTCTAAAACATATTTTAAATATTCTAAAACATAGTTTAAATGATTCTAAAACATATTTTAAATGATTCTAAAACATATTTCAAACGTCTCTAAAATATATTTTAAATGTCTCTGAAATATATTTCAAATGGTTCTAAATCATAATTGAAATATTTCTAAAGCATATTTTAAATATCTTTGAAATATTTTTTTTAATTTTCTAAGCTATTATTTCAAACGTTTCTAAAATGTATTTTAAATGTCTCTAAATTATATTTTTCTAAACTATATTTCAAATGTTTCTAAAATGTTTCTAAACTATGTTTTAAATGTAACTAAATGTATTTAAAATATCTCTAAAATACATTTCTTCATTTTTTAAAAAATTTTCCAATTCTTATCTCAGATCGTATTAGATCATTAATTGTTCTTTTTAAAATCGATAAAACACAATGACATTTTACATTTTGTTTATCTTTAAAAGGAACATTGTAAATATTACATACATGTTTCTTAAAATCAATAATTTAAACCCACCTGTTTTAATCGTCGCCATTTTGCCCTTCTATTTTGAAACCAAGTTTTTACCTAAAAATATATATAATGATAGATTAGTTTTTACGAATATTATATAATATTAAAATGAATTCATTTGTGTTTGAAAATACCCGAGAAAACTAATTTTCAAGCTAAGTTTAGATTAGGGTACTACTAATCCCCGGCAAAAAAAACGACAAGCGCGTTATATTTGTCTTTAGCAGTGGGAGGAAACGGGGGGGGGGGGGGGCAGAGAAAACCGAAACCACGCCACTTTACTCAATGACAGACCTTAAGATCCAACGTGCACGCGTTAACCATTCGGCCACCCAACTCCCCGTGATTAGTAGGGCCGGTCTATTGTAAATACATAGGACTGGTAAAGAAGAAATCAAAAATAAAATGGTACGCATATGTCGGTACATTAGTTAGATACGTATTATTTTTAATATATTTTATTTTTCAATCTGTAACTATACGAATATTTAAATTCAACTTTATTACACAATAAAATGCAATAATTATTACAGATCCTGTATGGAAAGAAAATACAACAATATTCGTAGTAATAGTATATATTGTGACTGGCTCTGGCTAGAACACGTGGATCAAAAATCATGTATCTAAAGATTGTTTGTGTGAAAAGTGTTTCAATAAGGGTTGAGACATTTTATTTTGAAGTCGGTATTCATCATAACATTATCATTCAGAAAAAAAAACAGACTGGCAATTATTCAACCAAATGACACACAATCCAAATCAATCAAAATTAGCAAATTCCACGCAGTTCTGAAAAGCTATCACCTTTCAGCGTTGGAAAAATAAAAATAAAATCATTTCTAAAGACAAAAATGCAGAAAACTAAAAATCGGTAAATTAAATGCTTTGCGCCGTTTCCAAAATACGATGCCTGCGACACATAAATATGGCTGATCAAACATTTTCTCTGCTTGTTTAAAAATGCATTATGTAAGAGCTAAATCTGCGTATGGGTCTGTATTTGGCCTCAAATGTTAAATAAATTATTGATTAGACATTAGTACATACGACAATCCCATAATCAACTCTCTAGAACATCGGATGGTCATTTAATAATTTAATTTAAAAATGGATAATCGAAACTTTGTTTATCATCGTAACAATGGTAACAAGGAAAATCAAGACTACGAAAACTTTAAACACTGATAACCTTGCTCAGAATAAAGTAATCTGACTGAAATTTTCAATTTATTTCTTTTTGATTATCTATTTGTTTTTTAAACTATCATAGCGAGAACTGTCAGCTCGTTATCTAAATCTTACAAAATGAGTTTTTAAAGAAATATGTTTATTTATTCGCCTCTCACCTGTCTCTCCGTTAAGGTTAAAATTTTGGCCAGCTTTTTTCGCTCAGGTGGTGACAGATATTTCTGCGATTCAAACTTTTTCTCCAGTTCTAACGTTTGATCGTTGGAGAACCTAACTTGACCACCTTTTCGCTTGTGTAATGGACGTTGGAGGTAGGGATTCCAAAACATTGGCTTCGGGCCTGAAACAGAAACAAAACAGTGTTATTTCTTTTAAAACAAACAATGAAAGCCAAGATTATAACTAAAGAAATTAGAAATTAAGTTGAATATCCCCCCCCACCCCCCCTGCCCCGTCTCCAAATATCCTGGTATTGAAATTTGTCATAGTAATACTGAATACTAACGTACTTCGCGATTCAAACAAAATACTACAAATATCGTGAACAAGCATTGTGAATTGAAAACTACACATTTGTAAACTGATTTGTCTTATTCTTCTTACTCTTCGATGAGAATATATCTTCCGGGTTTTTTTTTTATTAAATTGTGGTATCATATGGTTTCATCATCATATATTTTGTTCAGATATAAAATAAAAGAAATACATGATTTCAACTTATAACGGGATAAAATACCAAAAAGAAAATAAAAGCTTTCAACATTTTGATATCAGAAAGAAATAGACTAATGTCCAAAAGAAAGTATACACACTAAAAATATGACTAAGTTTTGTTTAAATCAAAAAAATGTGATAAAACTACACTGAACATGTCTCGTGCGTCCAAACTCAATATTTCTAAGCAAATAAAAGGCAAAACAAATGGACATTGTACTCAAATACTGCATACAATGGAAAAACGACTTTGTTTGAAGCAGGACAAAATGCACAGAGTATACTTTCTTTTGGACATCAGTATACATGGTTTCAACATACATTTTGAGATCAAAAGAAATACGTGGTTTCAACCTACAGTTTGAACAGATATCAAAAAGAAATACGTGGTTTTGATTAGATATTAGAAAAATGAATACAGGATGTATCTCAACCTACATTTTGATCAAATATCAAAACGGAATACCCGATTTCAACCTAAAATTTGATCAGATATAGTCAACCCATTTCATGCTCGACTGCAACGAATATTTCATATCATTCAAAAATCCGATTCAGCCAAATTAAGTCGCTATAGTTGCCAACAAATAAATACTTTTCAGACCTATGTGTCCACTGATTTGACAGGTTCTCTCGATGTTAGCGCCACATAGCTGATAGGTCAATCCTTTAAGTGCTTTATGATAAAGATATATTGCTAATCTGGTGATTATTTAGTGAAATACAAAGTAACTTAGGTTTAAAAATATTGACTGAATAGATAGCATGGGATGATATGTCTTTATATTTCTATAGCGATGATGGCAACCACCGACGTCCCATTGTGTTGTGGTTATAAACAACCGATGGAATGATGGCATTATATCGTTGGTGATATTGGTATTGTGGGCATTAGAGAAGCATTTTACACCTACAAGGACGAGGGTATTGACAGAAGTCGATCTTGTATCAAAAGTTTCTAGTATCAGTCGGAGGGAGTATTCAAGTCATCTTATCGAGGACACGTGGAGGTGGACGGAGATAAAGAGTCGGTATAGTTTGTGATCTGATGTTGGAAGGTGGTTCAATCAATAGAGTTCTAGAGTTATCTTGTTAGCCAACACTTAATAAGTTATATAACGTCATTACAGCTACGTCTTTCTTCTAATAGAACCGTCACTTTAACCATCTTACCGACAAGTGTACTTGTTAAAGAGAGAAATTGGCCCCAGATAAAAGAAACTTTAAAGATGTTGTGTCAACAGAGTTATCTTACAGATGCAAGTGAAACAACTCTGTAATGGAGATGGGTCTTTCATCGCCAATGCGTGGACCTTCAAATAAAATATTTCCATGTTTCTCTTATCGATATAGTCGAACGACTAAACATTAAATCGATTGCACAGAGACGCGACGTTGGAAAATAGGATGTCAAATATAGTAGGGGGTTGAATGGCGGGTGGTTAGCGCGTGCGCGTTGTATCATAAGGTCTGTCATTGAGTCAACTGGCATGGTTTCGAATCCGCGGTTACACGTGACCAGGAGTAGGGTCGCCTGTTCAACCTCTGGGTTTTCTCCGGATCCTCCGGTTTCTTCCCATTGCTAAAGACCCCTACGCGCAAGCGAATTATTGAAATAAAATTGAACCCAAATGTTAGTCCCGAAATGACCTAGTTTGTGTCGAGTGGACGTTAAACCTCTCTCTCTCCCCTTCTCCCTCTCTCTCTATTAATACCAAATAGACAAAATACAACGTCTTTCTTGTAATTTGAAATAACAATAGGCTGTATACTGCAAGTCGTATACTCGGTCTTCATTAGCCATGTAGGTGCAGAAAAGTAGGAAGTTGTACCCCGTTTCATTTCATTTCTCAAAATTACCGAAAGAATTATCTACAATGTTTTGACTTCATAGTTGTTTTAGTTGCGGAAACTTTTAGACCAGTGATATTAAAATTCAAACCTTTACAACAAAGTATTTAATAGAATTTCGACATCACAAGCTTCATTTTAAAACTAAAGCGTCACATTAATTGCGTTTCGAATAATTTTGGGGTTTTTAAATATCAATGACATCATCCACATCACGCCAACGAAATAACCGTTATTTTTCAAATTCAGTTCAAATTAACCAATTTAATTAAACATTGAGCCTCTTAACAACCCATTACAGGAAGGGGATAATCAAGCCAAGATATCATGTTTGATCACAAGCAAATACTTATTATAACAATAGGAAATATTACTCAGCACACGCGCTGAGTTTTGAAGTTGGTTACATCAAAGCGAACCGGGACGACCGCCCGAAACACGCACAATCCGTCCTTAAGTCTGACAGTCGGTACAGTAGTGTGGCTGTTGGTCGACTCAGGATACCATCTTATCACACTTCCGCCAATTTATCCGCCAAATAATATAGGCCACTAACACCAAGTAAGAGTAAAGGAAATAATTGAACTATAAGACACGATATTTCCGCATTTATCTTAAGTGTAATCGTGTGTTGATCAGTAATTGCCAACAATATACAAAGAGAAGGAATACTTTTAAACATATGATACGCTTCAAAAGGAAATACATGCGGATTTTTATATTTGTTAGATAGCCTTAAAGAGGACCTTACAGGGCGACCCCTGACAAAGTTGTGTGGGAAAATCAATTTTTATTCCATAATGGTAATGATATTGTCGAGAAGATCACGTTATTAGATGACCTTTCAATAACTGCTCTTTAAATAATCTATTTTTGTCCGTTTTCTAATGTGAGAAATTACTTGGCAATATACATGATTACAGATGAATGTATTTGGTCACACGTAAACATTGTATGGGGAAATCAATTTGTATTCGATAATGGTAATAGACTTGTCGAAAAGCTCACGCTATTAATTGACCTTTCAAAAACTGCTCTTTAAATAATCTATTTTTGTTAAATGTTGAAATATCAGCAATAGGCATGTATACATTAGTTTGCACGTACACAATTAGGACTTATGAACTAATATTTGATCATCATTGCGTGGAAGAGGGTAACTGTTGATTTTATTTCACTATTATGTTTTAAGCTTTGCAGATGCAGTGTTCTTAAAAGCAATAAATAACAACTGCACTCCTACCACCACCAATATTTTTTGTCAAAAAAAACTCCCTAACATCCCAATAATCTTAACGATTCGGAAGGTGACTAATTTCGAATGTAAAATTGAATTCAACGCTGTGAATCTAAGCGATTTTCCAAATGGGAACAGCCGAAGCCCCGTCGTATGAACCAGTGGCAAATAGTACCGAGCTTCAGGAACAACACTCGTGGCAAATAGTACCAAGCTTCATTAACAATACCCATGGCAAATAGTACCAAGCTTCGTGAACAACACGGTAGCAAATAGTATCAAGCTTCATGAGAAACACACGTGGCAAATAGTACCAAGCTTCATGAACAACCCTCGTTGCAAATAGTTCCAAGTTTCATGAACAACAGTCGTGGCAAATAGTACCAAGCTTCATGAACAACACTCATGGCAAATAGTACCAAGTTTCATGAACAACAATCGTTGCAAATAATAGCTAATGGCTGTTGAACTCTATTTATGTAAGAAAATCTGAACATTATCCGTTTAATATACTTGCATACATTCTGAAGTTATTAAACCCATGGCTTTAAATTCGCGGCGAGATTAACGTGTTTAGTCGCATAGAAAAACTATATGATTTCATACATTTATTTGGGCGCAATTTAAAGTATGGATAAGGTTTCCTTGTAAGCACTCCTGTCTCTTCTTTGTGTTTATAATAGTATGGTGGTATATGTTCCAGATACATTTTGCCAGTTGGCATTGCTAATAATGTCTACAATGAACATAACAACATGTTTAGTCACATATAAAAGCTATAAGAGTTGGTACTTTAAATTTCGGCGCAATTTAAAGTATGGAGAAGGTTTCCTTAAAAGTAGCCCTGTCTCGTCTTTGTCTTTATAATAGTACGATGGTATTTGTTTCAGGAACATTTTGCAAATTGGCGTTGCTAATAATGTTTGCAATGAACTTAGCAACATGTTTAGTCACATAAAAAGCTATAGGATTTGAAACTTTCATTTCGGCGCAATTTAAAGTATCAAGAATGTTTCCTTAACAGTACCCCTGTCTCGTCTTTGTCTTTATAATAGTACAATGGTATATGTTTCTGGAACATTTTGCAAATTGGCGTTGCTGATAATGTCTCCAATGGCTATATCAACTTGTTCAGTCACATAAAAAGCTATAAGGTTTGAAACTTTCATTTCGGCGCTATTTCAAGTATCAAGAAGGTTTCCTTAATAGTACTCCTGACTGGCCTTTGTCTTTATAATAGTACGATGGCGTTTGTTTCAGGAACATTTTGAAAATTGGCGTTGCTGATAATGTCTGCAATGACTATAACAACGTATTCAGTCACATAAAAAGCTGTAAGACTTAAAACTCTCATTTCGGCTCTATTTCAAGTATCAAGAATGTTTCCTTAACAGTACCCCTGTCTCGTCTTTGTCTTTATAATAGTATACCACTCGGAAACGTGTTAGGATATTGTTCAAGTTATTGTATTAATTAGTCATAATGACGCCCGATGTCAACCCTCTTCTTACAGAGGTCATCTTTAAAACTTTATAATA